ATGGCATTCAAGCGAGAAAACAGAAAGAGAGGCATACACAAGGGCAAAATCTTAACATTTGTGGAAATAAAAGCTTAGGTTTCTGTCACTACTAGAGTTGGTGTTTAGTAGTGCAGAGTCCCTCAAATAGGACATACTGACTGGAGAACCCTGTGAACTGTAGTTCTGGTTTACATGGATTTAAAATAATAGGTTATCAAAAGGGGTAAAGAGCTTGTGGCCCTTCAGATGCTTTTGGGCCCAGACTTTCATGAGCCCTAGTAAGAGAGTTCATGGACAGGAATTATAGCGGTTGATGTCCAACAACATTTAGAAGTCCACAGAGTGCTATCCCTATTCTATAGTAAAATATATATCCTTAAGAGAAACTTGATGCCCTGTAGTAATATGCAGAATGAATAAATTGCCTGTCATAGGTAACCATTTAGCCATATCGAATCTTCCATGAAATAGATATACTTCATTTAAACCAACTTAAAACATTATAAAAGTAATGTTCCTCTGTTCTTTGAGAAAGGTAGTTTATGGTTTTTGGTACCAGTGTTTGAATTTAAATTAATAAAATTATATGTTTTCCATTACTGTGCCATCCATTCAGCAATAACAATAAATAAATAAATTCCCCACCTCTCCTCAAGGCACAAGGCAGGGTACAACATATTAAAACACAAAACATAATTTAAAAAAACACATAAAACCAACAGTTAAAATACAACAGTACACTCTTGTCAGATTTAACTGGATGAATGGTAGTGTGTAATTTTTTTAAAAAAAAATTAAGTAACAAAAATAAAACAGTCAGGATGCTGAATTTCAGCTGATTTTTGTACAACTCTGCATAGTTTAGGTTTCAGAGAAGCAGGTGAACCAAAGAGTATTGGTAGTCAAAGCCAACAAGAACTCACTCATCTGGGAAGAACTCAAGGGTGCGGCTCCCAGCTGATATCTGGCACATGGTGTGGCTGCGACGTTGGCTGAACCCAGCTGCTGTGGGAGATTTGTAGTGGATGTTCACTGAAGGATAACTTCTCTTTGCTGGTGGGGGGCTAGAGGAGGAGCTGAACAAGCGGCTGAAGCTGGAGAGAAATAAGGAAACCAAGGAGCACTAAATTCTGAATCTCTTATTATTGCCACTTGATAAAGAAATATGGAGGTTACAAGGCTGAAATTACCAGCTAGTCAGTTGGCAACTTTAGCAGATTTTACCTAGGACCCCCTTTCCAATTTTTTTAACATCAAAAAAACATTTTTTTTACTACAGCAAGGCTCTATACTTTGCTTTAGAAGAGAATTGCTGCTCATGGAGGCTTTTGGGATTGGTAGTTCATTATTTGACCAAATTTCTTTTCTGGAGGAAGTCATTTGAAAAGGCCAGAGGTCTGCAAAAACACGGATGGTGGTATGTTTCCTGCAAAGCATGTGCTGGTGACCCCTGGATTAATAATAAGATGCTCCTGACCTTCCCATTTATTCAAGCTAAACTGCACCACTCACAAGGTATTTTGTCACATGGTTAGCCATCAGGTCAGTTGTTGTTTTTCCATGACCCCACTTTGGACAGGGTTGCAGGGGTCCTCAGCAGTGTTGTGGTGTCCTATCCTTTCCTATCCAGCAAGCTGCAGGTTTATCTGGGAATATTAGTGTCTGGCTGGGAAGTAAACATTTTACATTTCCTATAAAACCCCAAAATACCAAACATAACAGGCTCCAGAGGATTCAGGGAAAAATGGCTTATAAATACTTAGGGTAGGGAGCCTTGGGCATGTATCAGTAGATATGGGCTTTCCTGGAGTGCTGAACCCCAGCAGGGTACCATGCAGAAATCCAGTCCTGCTTTTAAAGTTGCATACTCTTTGTTGTGCATGTTCTTCCTCTCTCATCTGATAGAATGCAAAACTAGCCAAATGTAAATGTTGAGAAAATTGCAATTAACATCCTATCACAGTGATGTTATGCTATTTCATATCCAATGAGTACAGACAGGATTATTTCACTTCTGCTACTAAAAATCAACTGGTGGCATCATTGTGCCTTTGACTGAGCTTCATGACACCCATCTTACTGCCAAGATATTACTTACAATTGCCAAATTGTTGATTTCTTTTTCTCTTGCACAGAAGGATGTTCCCGGGAGGCTCTGTAGACAAATATAATAGAGAATTGTGAAGTCGTAGGCTCTCATGGCCGGCACCCATAGTTTTTTGTGGGTTTTTTGGGCTGTGTGACCATGTTCTAGAAGAGTTCCTTTCTGATGTTTCACCATCATTTGTGGCTGGCATCTTCAGAGAATGCTGGAATTCCAGCATTCTCTGAAGATGTCAGCCACAGATGCTGGCAAAACGTCAGAAGGAAACTCTTCTAGAACATGGCCACACAGCCTGAAAAACCCACAAAAAACTATAACAGAGAATTCTTGAATGGTATAGCAAACCATGGGGATGTCCCCTCAGCTGAATGGACAATCACAATGGCAAAGAGTTCATATGGACAGT